CCCTAAAACCCTAAAACCCTTAAACCCTAAAACCCTAAAACCCTAAAAACCCAAAAACCCAAAAACCCTAAAACCCAAAAAACCCTAAAACCCTAAAACTCTAAAACCCTAAAACCCTAAAACCCTTGAAAACGCAAGATGACGTCATATCCGAAAATTACGGAAACCCTAAAACCCTACCGTCCAGATTTCGCGATTTTGGCAGATTCAAAAAGCGCACACAGAGTGTGACTTCATTGATAATTTGTCGAGGTCATGAATTTCAAATTGAAGTTGTGGCCGGTATAATAGAAAGGTACCCAAACATGCATTTGCTGACGGCCTAGAGGTTAGTACGCGTCATGACGCGTACTAACATGCATAAAAACAATGAACATCATGGTAAGCGGCATGCACGTGTAATAGCACAAGCATTATATGGTTTTGAAAGCCAGCTCTTGAATCTGCAGTTCTTCTAGTTCTTTAAATCAACGGATTTCATGCAATACTGTGACCGAATGTTAAATGTATTATATATGCGCGCGCATGCGTACGTATATGTATTTACACATCGAGCCAAGCCTATACACATTGATTCAATGAACCGGCCGTAAGTTTTTGTAAGGGCGTGACCGTACCGGACTAGCTTTGGCATATGAGTAATTGCCAATTTGCCAAGTTGCCCGAGCTAGCAGCAGCTATAGGTAGGTTAGCATATCGTGTCACATGCTGCATCTGTGCATGCAAGCCGCGCGTAAAGCTGTCACTGAGTCCGGTCATGCAAGCGCTGGCATCATTAGCTGAACGGCCGTCCGATCAATCAGTCACGGTAGCTAATATTATCATTTATTTGGATTGTATGTGGCGCCGGGCAATATATGTACTATTTAGATTGATTGTGGCAGTTGCAAAATTCGGGCTCGTTGCAACGGGCCCGAATTTCGAGTCCATGCAGATTGATCGCGGTGCAAGGAGGGCCGGTACCGTACGTCCCGACGGTGGCTTGTAGACGGTACGGTTCGGCAGCAAACTAGGCATTTGTACTTCCTCGAACAATCATGAACTGATCCATCAAAGTATGTAAGCATAGTAGTAAGCATAGTAGTAGGCATAGAGTCCGATTACCGCCATGTCACTGTGGCTACGGCGCGTTCAATTGAAATGATCGAAGAGATCATCAGATCACATTTACTACATCACATACGTTTGGATCAAGGGCCGGGCGCGCTCCGCCATTGCTTTCGGCCGGCGCGACCTTTAACATTTCCTTTGAGGAGTCAAGATGCACGATCTAGAGTCGCAAGCTCACCGGCCGCCACATGCATTGAAGCATATTTGCCTATAGGCCGCCATGTTCTGACGTACATATCATGTTCAATTCGACGGACATCAGTCATAGATCATTGATTCAACGATCGAGCTCCTTTATGCATTACTATAGTACCGCTTAAACTCATAATTTGTTACATACATCATACGGCTAGCTCCAACAAGAAACTTTTATGATTCACAGTACAAAAATCCGGGCCTTATAGTTGCATTTTGCCTACACATGTAGATGCGGTCTTATAAGCCGCCGCTGAAACAAGATTGCAAGGCAACACGGCGGATTGGAAAGAAGGCCGTTCAAATTTGAAATGAAAAAGTGGACGCGGGATGAGCGACAAAATTGAGCGCCAGCAAAACGCATGTGATCAACTATCACTGTCGAATCTACCTGTTGCAAATTGAGCACGAACGAAGTTGTCGCCCAGCTGCATGGGGCCCGGGTTTCAATAATTCTTACTATACGGCGATGCTTGCTTGAACACATGGAGCAAGGTCACCCAATGGTTCCGAGCCCCCTAGCAGTTGAAGCGGGTTAGTAAGCTTATGGGGACGCCTGAGTCCCGCATCCGTTCATCCCGTCCCTGCAGGCCTCTCACGGTCCCTCGTCGTTGTCGTCGTCGTCCTCGTCGTCGTCCTCGTCGTCCGTCTCCCAGTCCCCGGTCTCCTCGTCCTCCGCGCCCCCTGCTGCGTCGCTGTCCGACGTCTCCATGTCGCCCACCTCCTCCACCACCCCCTCCGCGTCCCCCTCCTCATCACTGTGGCCCTCCTCGTACACGGCAGTGCCAGCATCGAGTGCGCTGGCCCCGCCGCTGCCGTGGTGCGCATCAGAGAACGCCGCCACTTGCGCCATCATGAGGTCCAGCCTCCCGGACAGAGCCAGCAGCGGGGGGAAGACGGCCAGCCGCGCGTCAATCAGCTGGTGCAGGGCCAGGAGGCTGGGCTGCGCGCCGGGGGCTGCCATCAGCGTGCCAGCATGCTGCACCAGACACACGGGAGAGCCGCAGGGTCAGCAACAACGACCCACGCGAGCATCCGCATCTGTCGAATTCTAAGAGGTCATTTGCAGACCCCAACGGCCCATGTCCGGCAGATGCTGTGCCATACTGAGCTACTGCCCCCACCGAGAGAGCGACGGCACCCGAAGGGGCCCGGCGCTGCGTGGGTCACCTGGAGCAGTGCGGCGCGGATCCAGGGCAGCAGCGTCATCCCCCGGCTGGGCCGCGCCTGCAGCTTGGCCGTCAGGCTGGCCAGCAGCGCCGCTGCATCGCTGGCGCGCAGCCGCCGCACCGTGTTGCCAATCACCTGCGGGGTGTGGGGACGGGGCACCCAGGGTCAGCACCGGCGCCTCAAGGGGACCTCCGCACCAAGGGCGCCAAGGAGCAAGAGCAGGAGCGAGAAGGCAACCTCTGCTTGCAGCATGATGCAGAGACGGCTCCCTCGCTGCCTGTTCCCTCCCTCGCCCGGCTCACCTTTTCATCGCCCACCGCTAGGCACTTTTCCAGGAGCTGCCCGTCCTGCGAGGCCAGCGCCTGCGTCAACAGCACCTGTAGCGAGTGCGCGCGTGGAGCACTGCTCCCTGCCGCTCCCCCTGCCACCTCGTCCTGCCTCCCGCTGCCCCCCGCCGCCCCCGCCAGCTCCAGCGCGGCCACGCGCTCCCCCAGCGTCTCCTCCTTCTCCTCCGCCCCGCCCCCGCCCCTCCCGCCCCCGCCGCCCTCC